AGGACAGCACTTGGGAGGAGTTTGGCCCTTGAGGAGATGGGAGGTAGGAAGGGTCAAAGTTAGAAAATGATAAAGGGCACAAGCAGRACAATCCCTGCAGGCTGTACAAGGTGGTTGGGAGATGTTTTGTTGGTTTAGAGCTCATCGAGACCAGCAGAGCTCCACACCTCACCAGAAACATCTCCAGGGGCTTCCTAGAGACAGCTAAGGTAGGAAAAGTAGCTCAGAGGATTTGCTCTGAGTACACAGAAGGTGTTTTGGTTGGAAGTGAAATAGCAGTGCTATCAGCAGCCACATTTGTACACGGGCTTTTTGCTCCTGACACCCTTTCCAAGTGTTTTGGTGGAGGGAGGTGCCTGAGACATCCAGGTTGGAGACTGGAAATGGGTGAGGGATCTTCCAGCACTAGAGAGGTGATCAATCACCTGTATCTGATCTTCAGGCTTGACCCCACGAGGTGSACACACCAGGACTCTTTTCAAAACCCATGAAGGTTGAAAAAACAGAGATGGAGAGGCCAAGGGCAGCGATGGCAGCTCAGAAAGCGACTCTGGGTGCGTTGAGCCGCTGCTTTTCCACCACCACGGGGCTGTGCTGTGTTTTTGTGGGCTGAGAGCAAMCAGAGCAGCAATTGATACATCTCAAATGCCATGTTCTGCATTTTGCACCTCCATGCGTGCCCCTCGTGTGCGTGTTYGCTCTCACAGAGCCTCCTGCCCGTTTGCTCTCACGCTAATGAGACGTTCTCACTCATTTCTTTGTTATGCCAGCTCTAATTTCCAGCTCTTTGACACGAGCCACCGTTTTTTTTTTTTTCTCTAAAAGGCTGAGATCACATGGCAGGATTATAAATTTACTCCTGAAATGCGCCATTAATAAATAATAAAGTGTTTATAAATATGCAAAATAGATTATTAGTCAATTCTACAAAATCTTGGCTACAGGAGCATAAAAGTGTGCCCTGCAGCTTGTATATCTATTATAAAAAGGAGGAGGGAACTAAAAAGTAATTCAGATTCCCTTTTTAACTTCCAAGCAGTAAACGCTGAATAACTTATTTCTGATAGTGATTATGTTAAAAGCGAATCATTTGTTTCCTTGAACAGCAGCGAACAATGCACTGCAAATATGTGATTTTTAAAATACTATGTACATGCAGAGGGACAGAATAAGTCCTTCATCTGAACAGCTCATTAAATAGAATTTTTTCAGCAAGAGCCTTGCTCTCTCAGCAAGCATCCTGAGCAGGACTATTCTCTTATTTAAGCTTCAGGAGTGCTAAGAGTGCCTAAATTCTTCCCTTTTAACTACAGGAGCTCAGATTGGAACCTTGAATCGTGGAACTACGGAGTGGTTTGGCTTGAAAGGAACCTTAATGAGCATCCAGCTTCATGGGCATGTGTGTTTGCCACGTGTCAGAAGGGGAAATTGGCAGTTCCTGAGGATCTTGCATTGCTCTGGATAACACCTGCCTTTCTAGCAAGACCCAAACTCATCAGGAAGCTGTTGCAGCAATGTTTTGGTCCAAAATAAACAGATTTATTTCTCCTTGGCTATAGCTTTATCTACAGGGGCATTGTTAATCTGTATGGCAATCTCAATGGCAGGTGATACACTGTGGATGGGATGGGAAATTGGGAATTTGGTGGCAGAAATACTAATGAGAAGCTGGATGGAAGGAGGAGAGGAAGGACAGGGAGCCCTGAATTCAGTGCTGAGCTCTGAAAGCATCGCTGCACCATCAGCGAGAGGAACTGCTCTGATCCAAAAAAAAAAAGTTATACACAGTAAAGGAAACAGGAGAAATTGCCTAAATAGTCTGGGTTTTGTTGTTTTTTTTTTTTCCTTTTTACCTGAGAATCATCTCAATGCCGCTGGGATCTGTGCTGAAGGAGTCCTTGTGCAAGGAGATGGAGAGAACTGGGTAATTTCAGACACTGTCCAAAAAGTGCTGCTGAGACAACTCTGCTGACAGCCAGGCAAAAATGAAGTGGGGAAATGTCAAATGTTCTTGACCCCAGCTTAAACCTTTATGAATTGAGGGCAGAGGGAGAGAAGTGTGTCTGTAAAGAAGAGCTGCTCTTCAGATAAATATGTTTGTATCGAGGCACAGACAGCCTGGAAATCYGTGGAGGGGCAACAGCCGGGGGAAGCAGAGGATTTGGAAGTGATGCTTCAAGAAAATGATGACAGAGAGTTTATTTTTGCTCAGCAGCAGTGCAGTGGTTATTCTGGGCTGRCATCAGAGCTGATGAGGATCAGACATATCATCCCCAGCCCCTTTAACAGACTTATTTCTTAGCAAGAAATGCACACTGCGACTCACTGAGGATTCACTGTGAGCAGGGCCAGCAAATCTGGAGGGGAGGTTGGCTCCTGTGACCCCAGAGCCCAAAGGAAATCTCTTCCCAACCTGTGTGTAAGAGAGGATTGTGCCACAGTTATTTCACTGGCATTTACACGTGGCAGAGGAGTCCCCAAGGGTGTTTTGTGTGCTCAGCACAGGTCAGGGATGTTCAAAGTGGCTCATTTGGCTTTTGGAATTGGTAAAGGTCCTGGGCAGATATCTGGTGCTAGACTTGGCCAGAATAATAACATGTACATTGAATTAAATTATCTAGGAAGAGCCACTGCAAGGAGGCCAGAGGAGTCAGGACGAGCTTTAAGCAGATGATGTGTTACCCTTCACAGAAAAMCCTTCAAATAAATCACCCTGGCTGAGGTGGTGCAGGAGGTCATCCAATCCTTATCCCTCAAATACCCAAACCCCATCTGGACAGGCCAGAGCTGAAACCCCACCAGGGAATCTGAGTCCATGCTTCACTCAGATCAGTGAGTTCCCTCCATCGCTGGGAGGGGTGGATTGGGCAGTGATGAGCAACAGCCAAGAGCTGTTCTCCAGCCAGGGCTGGCAATTAGGATTGGAGCATCTTCCAAGATAGAGATTAAATGCTGGGTGAAGCTTTGGAGCAGCTGCTCAAGCTCCTCAGGACCTGCCTTCTCCTTCCTTGTCCAAATTTAGCCTAAGTGGGCTCTCCCCATGGAGCTGAAGGGAGCTGGGCTCTTCTGTGCTGCTGCTCCCACAGTGTGGAGGGAAGTGAGTGAGCAGGATGGCTGGAGATACCAGCAGSAGGGGACAGAAAATCCCAAAAATCAGCTTTATGCTTCCTAAACCATCAGAAACTACATCTGGATTTTTTAACACCCTTAGCTTCTTGGCTTTAAAAGTAATGGCCACGCCTCCCATGCTGTTTTCTTGAGCTGAAGAGTTGTTTTCCATGAATTAAAAGTACTGTTTTGAAATATTTTTGGCTCATCCAACATGCTGCGAGCAAATGGTCAGGGGAGAAGCGAGCCAGCCTGGAGTGGGTGTCTGTTTGAAACCAGAGTTAGAAGAGTTCCTGGCCTCTTCAAAATTGGTAATTGCCAGCTGAGAGGGAGATTAACTATCCTCAGCGTTTCTGTGCAGCCTAGTTACAGACTACTGGGTCTTGAGCAATTAGAGCTATTCCTGTTTCATACTCTTAATAGAGCTCGTTGTCAGGCACGATTCCAATCATCTCGGTGCTCAGCTCYTGTCTAGGACAGCATTTGCCACACATCACTGACAATTCTGCACTTATCAGTATCGAGGCATCCAGAGATCACTGACACTGAGACATAAGGAAGACACCCCCTCCTCCTTTTGCAGGGTTATAAATGTGAATTAGTTCTGTTCAYTTAACCCCACTCTTGTGCACAGCCTGGCTGGTGAGAGCAGCAGCTTGTACGAGGGTGGGAAGAGCCACCCACGGGAGAGGGGAAGCTGTGCTGTGCTCTGGCCCATGCAGAASTCTTCTAGATATTGCAGAAATAACCCTTTAATGGGATCCATTTAGGAAAAAAAAATTATGAAGACTTGCCTGAGAAATCTTTGTTGCAGCTTTGGGCTTCCCCACGTCAAAATTCCGAACGGGTTAAGCCAAGCCTTGCCCTTTCCTCACACAGCCTCAGCTGCAATCACCTCCATCAAACTCAGCTCTTCAGCTCCTACTTAGGTAATAATTCACACCAGATTTTTGGCCATTTTGGCCATTTTCCACTCGAGACCTCATCAGAAAGCTAAGTGCCCCAGCGATTGCAGTCTCTGTTCCTTTGTGACATCCTCRCTGTGCCAAGAGCAGCCTGTCCTGCTCAGCTCCCTTAGGTTTGGACTCACCTTGAGCGGTTTTACAACTTCCTACACAAAGCAGCTTTGCTGCTCAACAGCTGGCTCAAGGCTGACAGCGTTTTGTTGGGTGTTTTGAATTAGATTGAGCTTTACTTTGCTGGCAGGACATAATTTAAAAGGCAGAGGCGGGACAGMAGCTGCCTCTCATCTGCAGCACTGAATTACTGTTGGTGAAGAGATGAAGATATCAAGGCAGAGAAATCATGTGGAGCATGGCAGAGGGGAGAGGCAGAGCATGGTGTTGGACCAGTCTGTCCTGTAGCTGCTCCAGGACCCAGCAAAGTCTGCTCTCCATCATGCAGAACCTCTCAGAGCCTCAGACTGCCCTGATCCTTATCTCCAGCACTTCAGCATTTTGCCATGACCTGAAAGGGGCAAAAATGCTTCAGAGATGGGGAACTTCATCAAGCAAGAGTGAAAGGGAAGGAAGCCTCCTGAACAAYTGTGGTGTGGCTTGGCCATGGCAGGGAGGGCACAGGGTTTGGCTCAGAGTCCAGGACAAGAGCTCCAGTTTGTGGGCTGAGGTACCAAACACAGGGGTAGCCAAGGCACTGAAATCCCTTCCCTACTGCAGAGGATTTTGCCTTTTGATCCCAGAAGAAARCCAAGCTTTCTTGATGCTTGATGGGGATTGTGTGATTAAACAAAATTCCTCTACCATGCTGCTAAAATCAGTTTTCCCCCTGGTCAGGTCTAACAAATGCACACATGTGCTCTCACATCCACCRCCCTCCAAAAGACAACACCCCTTTCCCATTCCTGCCTTCAACACAACACACAGCACAGGGATTTCAAGGACATGTTTAATGATGGCAGTTTCTACTGAAACACGTGAAGTCCATTCAAACCAAATCAATTTTTCCTTAAAAAGAAGCTTTGGTCACAATGACAAATTCATTTTTAAAAAAAAGTTCAAAGCAATTGCACAAAACTGAACACACGGTTCTGATACCTCCTCACATACAAACTGCAGCATCAGAAACTCAACTAACAAGGATAAATCTTCAACAAAAACCACAGCCCACCACCCTGCAGAGATTGTACTGTATACATGGAATCAGAGGGAACARTTATGAACAAAGTGTTTGAATTAATTAGTGTCTGTRTRTTCAAGCCTCATTAGTGCCTGCAGACTYCTGCAAGTAAGTTTGGCCTTAAGATAAACACTAGGGTATCACAAAGTGGTGTTAGTGATGTTAGATTATKTTATTAGTGTTCTGAACAAGCGTTTGCAGTCATCTCTGCAACTTCCAGGGAACAAAACGGGGGAAAATGCAAATACAAAGCTATCTGTGTACTTAGTTCTGCAGGTAAGTATGGCACACTGACTTGTGGCTTCTCAAATGTAATTAATCTCTGGTGACAGGGCTGTGGCTGGAGTAAAGCAGCTGCAATTCTGTGCAGGGCTTTCCCTCCACATGCACACAGGGAAAAGCCTCTGACTCACTCTGCCTCTTTAAGCAGTCAGTGAGCTACAGGCAGACAGCTGTAATAACATTTCTGTTTGCATTTTCTGTAACAAAAAAAATAATAAGCCTTTAAAAATGCTCTTGAACAAAGCAAGTTTGACTAGGCAACACAAAATAGCAGCAGATACTAAGACACGTTACAGTCACAATCAGATTAAATCTGCAGTGTAAGATACACAGAACACTAAAGTAAAAAACTCATGTAGTGGTTAATGGCTACTTCTTCTCTGATGAATTCCTAAAACTACCTGAACCAAACAGTTTAAATTATTAAAACTATGTTTTAAACTGATTTCTACTATTAAAAAAATATTCATATATATATACTATTAGACGAGTCACATCAAGTGCTCTTAAAATCTTAACTAAATATAGCTATAGAATATTTAACCAGACACTTTAAATCACATACAGCAAGTTTTGTAGAGGTAAACATTGCCTCACATTTGCAACAGCAACTGAGTATCAGACAGAGCATTTGGAATATTTTCATGACCGTGAGCAACTGGTCAGGTTGACCTCTTATTTCCACCAAGCTTCCCTATAAGCACTTTTCAGCTTATGGCACAGTTTGGGACTTCCCTGAGAAGCCAGGAAATCCCAGCAGCCGTTGAGCACCTCCATCTTCAAAATCTTAAATACCTGGTCCCTGTCCACCATTGAGATTTGGCCATGTTGTGAAATAGTAGGATTTTGTTCTTTTTTTTTTCAGCTACAAGCAAGGGGAGTAGATGGCCTGTGCTAACTCAGCAGGTGACCTGAAGTTGCTGGACAAACTGATTTCAAGAACTGACTTGCCCTCAGAAGGGAGAAGCCCTTCGTGCATCTTTTCTTCTCATCTCTCTCCTACATAACTTGGTCTTGCCTTTCTTTTGTGCCAAGAGATGGTTTTATTCCCTGTTCCCCACTCTCAGAGTGCCTGGTGCTCAGTTTAAAGAGTGACAGGAACACACTGCCATGTGTGTGTTCACAGGGCAGCCACCTCACCCCATCCCCTCCTTCCACAAATGCCAAAAGCAGCTTTTAACCCTCCCCTCTCCTCTCAGCATCGCTGCTTCTCTGACTTCTACAGGGCTGGGTCTGCCCAAGAAATTCAATTCCCAGCCTTYACAGTCTTGCAGGCCTGAAGAAAAACACTATTTCCTTCTGGAGCATCCAGAGGTGTGTTTAACCAAGGCAGGGAAAGAGCTCCAGASCTCACCTCAGCCTGCAGCATCGTTCCATTCTCTGCTCCCTGTGCTTCCTCCAGCCAGAACAACCTGCCCAGCCCATCTGACATGTCAAATATTGCTTGGTAACAGTGGCACTGAATGACTCAAACTGTTCCATGAATGAAAATAACAGAGCATTTTATATTGCCTTGATGATTAATACTAACACAACAGTCTGCTTTGGGATTTTTCCATCCAGGCTGAGTTGGCTGTCTGCAAAGCCTTTGCTGAGTCACAGCTAGGGAAAGCAAGCTGTGGTATGGCAGCTGCTGGGATGAATCCACAAAGCTGCTGGAAAGGAGAAAAATTCCCCTTCACCTCCTTTATCTGACTGAAAGGCTGAGGGGAGCCACAGGTCGTGGTATCATGACAAAGCAGTCTGGTGTTCTCAACAAGCCTCAAATCTCAACAGGGCTTTAAAAGAAAAGATAAAAATCCCAAAAGTGGCAGCCTGCTGCAAGGCTGGTGCTTTGCCAGAAACAGCAGAATCCTTGAGGGATTGCAATTGCAGGGCTGGGAGAGGGTCAAGCAAACAGTGGGACAATCCTAAAACAATTGGAAAAGATGCTTTTCCCCAAGAAAAGCAAGGTTCCAGCCAGCTTAAACACCCAAAATAGAAGGTGTTAAGGAGTGCAGTAAACAGTAAAGCCTGAACTGCATCTGTGGTTACTCTAAAGGAAAACCACAAAGTAAAGAAACTAACCCAGTTGGGTTTGCCCTTTCCACCACTGGCCTGGAAGGTTGGGATGCCTGTGGTCTCCAAACCAGACCCTTCCAGATGCAGCAATCCAATTCCCACAGKGTCATCCCACAGCTCTGACCTCTGCAGCACAAAGCACGGCAGGGAGCTACGGTTACAAATGTGTCCTTGAGTTAAATGAGCTTTGTCAAGCAGGTAGTAAGGGAAAAYTTCCAGTTTGATAGAGAATAAGATTGCTTACATGAAGCTTCCATGAAAAATAAGAYATGTTCTCTCTGCAATCCAATCATTCCACATGAGCACTTACTTTCCTTAGAAAAAGGTAATATAGATGAATTGTAGACAATTAACAGTCAGCACAGGACAGTACAAAACACTGGTTTTACTCCCAGTGGAAGGGCAGAAAATTACAAAAATATATCTTCTTTAATCCAAGATTGTTGTAGTTTAGAGCATGCCTGATTCTTCCTGTTTCCCTGTGRTCTCAATAAGTGAAGTTGGTCTGATCAGAGCTCCTTGGGACAATGAGAGTGRCATCATGAAAACTTAGTGCAATTGTTGTTTAAAAAAAAATCAGTAGCAAGTCAAGAAAATTTCTTACACAGGTCAACCTCCAAACCCTTTCCCACCYAAAACCCTATACCAAACATTGTGTGGCATTTCAGCATGGCTTACATTTTACCATCTAAAGTCCTAAGTCACCTCTGTAAGGCCCAAAAATACTTTTTTTTTTAAACACACGATCTGTTTAACAATGACCAAAGTTTAACAGTGACTGAAGTGTCGAGTTAGGATTTTAGAAAATAAGTCCTTGGGGCAGCTCAGTTTAATCTTCCTTGTCTTCCTCCTCCTTAAAACTTATTTAAACTGTAAGGAGCTGCAMCTTGTCATGCTTTGGTGACACTGCAGCCCTCCTAAAGCAAGAGAGCTGAGTTTCCAAAGAGGAACTCTGGTCATTCCAACGCAGCAGTCGGGACACCAGGAAACCAAACGGTGCTGTTTTAGTCAGAAGATCCACAGCCTGCTGTACAAACAGCACCTCGAGGAGGTGAGGTGAGGCTTGGTTTGGTTKTAATGCTGCAGAGATGAAAGCCTCCCCTTTCACAGTTATGGGTTCAGCAGGTCCCTCGACAGCAGAATGACATCTTGCAGGGCATCCACGGAGCTGCTTTACCTGGAAAGCAGGAGAATTAGCACAGCTGGAGATTTGCAATTCAAATAGCTYACAGGCAGAGATGAGAACCCATGTGTAAACTGAAAAAATAAAATCCCAACAGCCACAAAGGAAAAGGGAGCATCATTCACCAGGATTGCAGCAGTTGATGTATCTGRTGGCACTGATGGGATGGTAGTGCAATGCCAGGAGAAGAGATACCACAGGAAGACAAAAGCAGAGTTAGATGAGCCCAAGCCCAGATGCTGGAAGATCCTGTGGCCAGTCACTGTGCAGAGCAGGGAAGGGAATGTGCACAGGAAACCACACTCTGGATCTCACAGCTTTTTTCACACCGGTGAACCTCTTATCCATCATGGACCACCCTCATGGCTATGGATGCTCCTCCTCACACCCCACTGCCCTAAAATCTTCAAAAAACATCTTAATAGCAACTTGTTACATTCAAGGAAGGAGRTGAGAGCCCTCCCTTAGGGCTGCAGGAGCCAGGAGAACAGGGTGTGCTCTGCAACAACTGTTACGGCAGCATTGGGAAAGAACTGGCCTTCAAAACCCAATAAAAATTGCTTTTTGACTATCTCTTTCCTCCCCTGCTGTGGGCCTATGGGAAATCCTTAACAGCAGCACCAAAGCTTTGGCAATTKGTTGTGTTTATAGTGAGCTGCTGCCTGTGTTGGTGATTTGCACCCCCTTCAGATGAGGATAAATGATACCCCTCCATTTATACACAACTTGTCACTGCTGCCTGCTGGGGAAAAAAAAAAGTAAGCTGCTATAAACCCCAGCACAATTCACCTGGCATCATCCAGAATTGCCTGCAGCTTTCACTGGAAAAAAAAATCCATTAGAACTGCTCCCTTGAGAGTGAACACCTCGCAGTAACAAACAGAACAATTCCATGCTCCATTCCGAGYTGCACATGCAGTCAGGATCTGGGAAGGATGTAGTCCTAGAGAAGGCACCAATCGTGTAACCCATATTTTACAGAGACTCCCAAGACTCGAGTACATCAAAGGCTGAGCCTTGCAACTGTGCTGAAGATGAATTTGTACAGTTCAATGCTAACAGTGCCTGAAAAAGGGATGAATCCAGGATCCAACCCTAACACGTGGTGCATCTTTCCTCTGAAACAACCTGCAAGCTCTCAAAAGCCCTTTAGACCCACGATGGCTGAATAAATATTCCTGTCCTCTTCCCTCAGCCTGCCACTGCTCCTTACACATAAATCTTTCTCCTTTCAAGAGCACTTTGGAAGATGCATTCTTAAACTGCTTCTGTGTTCTGCTGGTGCTGTTGCTGTTAGAGGGAAAAATGACAATCCATAGGGAAAACAAACTGAGGAATTTTACTCAGCCAACAGGAAGGACAGAGGCTGCAGTCTGCCCCAAGAAAAACTTTCACCAGTATTTATTTAGGAGCCTGCCATCAGGACTGGTCTTTAAATTCCAAGTTCTTTCCCCAGCTCTGGGCTGTCACATGGCACATATGGCCCTGGATAGCTGTGAAATTCTCCCAGCCAGAGCAGAGCTCGCTGCCTCCAACAGCTGCAAATCAGCAGGGAGAGGAGTCACTGCTGATATCCCAGATTACTGAAGTGCTTTCAAAGCCTTTCATGTGCAAGGCGACACAGAATTTATTCAGAACTTGTTTTCAGTTTCCTATTGAAGCTGACAAGAAATMCCCCAATGAGCTATGCTAGAGTTAATAAGCTTAACAAGCTAACAATTTTATTTACCTTTTCAGAAACTGGTTCTTTTTGCAACTGTTTTAATCTCTTTTCTCTTATTACACAAAACAGGCAGTGGTGGGGGATGGACACCAGTTTGTTGGGGATGTTTGCCTGTAACCTGCTTTATTTCACTGCTCTCTACTCAAGTATCACTCAGTGCCAAATGCCTGATGAATCAATGGCTTTGCTCCATCATGGAGATCACAGAACCTGTGCAAATTCTGCTTGCCTTCTTGGAAGGAGGTGCTAAAGGAGCAAAGAGGAGAGGGAAATCATCAGATCAAGATTTATTTGTAGGATGAGAAAGAGCACATTTGGAGGATGGGATTTAGCCTTCCACTAACTCATTTSTGAAGATGTGCAGCAAGTGTAATCCCACCATAAAACTTGAAAAAACATCTGACATTSGGGAAATGATGACCAATACAGTTCATATGGTCCAGGAATCACCTGGACAGGGATGTTTTTCAGCCTTCAGCACAGACTGAATTGGTGATCAAGAAACAAATAGTCTATTGCTCGGTTTGGTTTCTTTGTGTAGCTCTAGAATAATTTCAGAACAATTCYTGAACTTTTTATCCAAAGGCCTCGCTCAATACCAGAGCAAATACATAAATATACACATTAACAGTGGTTATATATACACATATACACATAATATACACATATACAGTGGTTTCCATTCAGCTTTTTAAGGAGGTGCCAATGTCCAAGTGGTCTGGCACCTTTACCCCRTGACAATCTTGGGTTTATACTTTCCACCTCTTGTTACAGAAATTGTCTGCAGGATTAGAGAGAGCATTGACAGAGCTGCTTCCCTCCTCCTGGAATGAGGTTGCAAAGAGGGATCTGATCCTGCACCAATTCAACAGAGGCAGCAGTGGGTGACTTCTGCCTCCACAGAAAGAGCTGAGTTTGGGTAGGGKTTTGAAGTGGGCTCATTAGTCTGCCTTACTGAAGAAAGGTGGTTATTTCTTATTGCTCCACTGCCCAAGGAATGCCAAGGGGGGATCTACTGGGAGCCTAAAACCTTAAAGCCTCCTGGAAAAAAAAAATGGAAAAATATAGCAACGACCTTCATCCAGCAGCCCAATTTACACTGTCTGCTGTTCTTTGATGCCTCATGTAAGACTGGAAACAAATCCACACAAGGACAAAGCATTAAAGGAAAGAAAATTAACTGCATGAGAACAATTGGAGAGGTAAATGTCGCTTCTCCCCTGTTGCTGCTCCACACCAACTGCCTTTTAATTAGAGAGCTGTTTGCATTGCACGGGGAGAGAGCACAGAATCTCAATTACTCCCCCAAACACAGATGTGAGTGCCAGCACAGATCAGTCAGAGATGGGAGAGGATCTCAAACAAACCAGCCCAGAGCCTCCCCACACCATAATTGCCAATTTGGAGGCTGGGGAGAACTGGGGGAGGTACCCCAATAGAAGACCTGGTAAAAGTTTGGACTCACTGTGGGCAAGTCTGAGCTGCCCTTTCTGCAGCTCTATCCTATGAACAACCTCCTGACTGGTTTAATGGGGCTGTCAGTGGTCAAACTCARCAACTCAAATCTGCAAAGAAGCAGATTCTCTTCACTGGACATAGGACTTATGAACTGTTTGGGATATACTCTCCAAGCCACACAAAGGAACCAGAAAGCTCGATATCTTTCACAACAAATGTAACCTCAAAGAAGCTGTCCCAAAATCAGCACTGCTAAGGGGCTGTCTGTAAGATGATCTCCCCCTCTCAACTGAGTAGCTCTGTTTGAGCTAAACAAAAGTATGYCTGAAACAGCAAGGACTGCAGAAAATGTGGAATTTAATAGCTGTTGCACYGTGGCAGAAAGGAGGAATTCCCACAGCTGGAAAGAGGACTGGTTGGCCAAGAACAGGAATCCAGGATGAGCTGATACCTTCAGTGGAAGCAACAGCACAGGGCCTGCTCCAGGGAAGCACTGTCAGATAATCAAACACAGCTCTCAAAAGACAAATGGTTTCCAGCAAGCTCTCTTTGTTCATCCAGTATTTTACTATTAGACAWCTTATCTTGAAGCACTGTCCATGATTGAAATTCTTCTGTTCYCACTCTTTGGGAAAAAAAAACCCCTCTGATCCCATTTCCAAAAGTTCACAGAGAAGTATGGAGTTAAAAGGAAAAGGGCAGGAGGTGTGGGCTGTTTGAACAGGCCATGGCGAGTCAGATCTCTGCACCAYGGGTTTAACAAAGCTCGATCCCGAAGTACAAACTGCACAAACTGAAATTATTAGAGCAAACACAGGGCAGCTACAGGGAATGGCAAAAGTCAGGTAAGAACTGATAGGAATCTTCTAAATCAAGAACTAATTGTTTACACATAAAGGCTTGACTCACACCCTTCATTGTTTCGTGGCTCCCAACTATTTCCTGATTTTTACAGAGAACTAATGCAGTGATTCTGGAAACAACYAGTGGAGCATACAGTGGTGTGTGGTTCAGATGTTGGCACACATGTGCTCAGAGCAGATGTGGTGTTCCCCCTTTTCCAAAGTTAGAAGATGGGCAATGTGAGTAAAGTCTGTAAAATCTCCAGTTGGAATTTGTCAAGATCTGCATTTTTATAATTAGGAGAGCTTATTTCAGCTGAAGTAGGGCAGATTTTAGAGCAGGCCTTATTTGGATGAGAACATAACTCAAATAGTGTGGATGGCTTGATGTAAATAAAAATAAGAGATGCAGATACCCTGATGCCATAAATCAACAACAGTATCTTTATGTGCTGAGTTGTTGCCATAAATCTTCAGGCCCAGAATAGGCACCAGAAGTTTTGGGTTGTCACACCGCTTCCATCTCACAAACATATTTAAGGAAAGTTTGTTGCTAAGGGATAACTGCTCAAGGGATAACTGCTCACAGCATCAGCGAGGGACAAGTCCTCTCTGTCACAGASCAACACAGGAGCACTCTGCTACAAACATTGTGAGATTCAGCATCATTTCCCTGSCAGGCTCACAGCAACAGCAGTGCCTGGGAAAGCAGCCCTGGATCCACGACCCTTGATCCACAGCCCTCCATCCAGCGTGAGCACACAGCAATGACTGCCAGCAGCTGCCCAAGAGGGGAAGTTCAGTCTGTCAAAGCCCAGCAGCTATTTGGGACACGTGTATCCCGTTGTGCTGCTCTGCAGGGCAAAGAGGAGGGCAGACAGCCTGGGGTGGTGACAGGGTTATTGCAGGGACAGGGGAGGACAGAGCCCTGTGTGCTGGGAACAGGCTGAGAGTAAGGAAAGGGATAATGCTAGGGCAAAGAGGGAGATTGTGACTGCCTCATCCCTGCCRAGTTAGAGAAATAAAAGAGCTGTCTTCACTAACAAGAGCTCAGCGAGCATGTCTAACCAGAGGCAAGGCAGCAGTACCTGTATTTCACATCAAACACTGTCGAGTCTTCATCCTCATCRTCTTCCTCGTTCAGAGGAGCCATTTCTACCCTCTCAGCCGGGGTGGTGATTATGTCATACTTCCTGGTCTTCTTAATCCTCTTGCCAGACCTGCAAACAGAGGTGGGGAAGGCTGTTTTTAAACAGTGTTACTTGGAGAGGCCGAAGCTGTTCCCACAAGCTCTGGGTTTGATTCAGACCCCCCCACCAGGGATGCTTCAGAACCAGCCTCCATCCCCTSCTGCTGCCTTTCCAAAGCCACTGTTTGTCCTCTGTGGAGCAGTTTCTCCTCAGCTGCAATCCAGACTGATGTCAGTCTTTGCACTGCTGACAAACCAGAGATGCTGTGGTACCCAGGGCAGGCACAGGAATGCTGCAGCCACCACGTCCTCCTGCTGCCACACTCWATAAGTGAGATGTGGGCTTAATCAGCTGAAGCAGCCACTGGTTTAGTGAACATGTTTAGATGAGAAAGCAGAGGTTAAGCCCTGCTGAGCCACAGGAATGTTCTAGGCAGGATTAGGAGCGAGGAGGTGATGATGTCTGGGTACAAATAGCCTGCTCTATGTGCTTGCAGTCAGGCTGAGCTCAGGACTCCCACAGCAACAACCCTGAGTCTCATCTGAGCTGTGTGGGTGCTACGAAAAATAATCAACCATCATTCAAAGCYAACTGTACCTACCACCTCTACTCCCACAGATGCCAGCTTTACCTTTCTTTTGAAATGGAGATGCTCACACACCTGCACATCCCACGGTTTTGAGAGATCTATTTTCTAACACTTACTTTCAATTAACAAACACTTGGTGTGTGGCTTTTCAACTTAATTCTCTGCCTCTAGCTTGAATTGCATGGATCCTTTTTTTTTTTTCCACCTACTGTTTTCATGCACACTAGGAAGGTCACACTGCTCATGCATGAATGCATTTTTGTGATTATACATTCAAGTAGGTGTTGATGTGTACCGCCAGCCTTCGGGGAGAAAAATGGATGGTTTTGGTYAACAAACTGCAGAACTTTCCCCTTCACCTTTGAGAAAACAAAAGTGGCACAGCACAGCTTKTGCCTCAAGATGTCTTTAAGAGTTACACAGCAACAGGAACTGAGGTGTGAGCACTGCAGAGACTGGGACTCCAACCCTGAGTGTGTATCTCCACCACAATGGTCCCTTCCAAGCTTAAAGTTAAAGAAATTTAAATAGGTGACCAGCTCTGATGTGGAAATCTCAGAGCCTCTTCCATGCTCTGATTTTGGGCAGCAGACCAAGGCTGAACAAACAGGTCCCAGTCCTCAGGATGATGCAGTTTGCATTTCCTTCCTGTTCTGAAGGCTAAGGTTGCACAAGAAGTGAGGAGAAAGTCACCTCCTGATCCAATCTTCAGAGCAATCTGTGCTGCTGTGCCACACAGAGCACAGGGTGGTTTGTTCTTTTGCTGTTGTTGAAACAAGCAATTTTATATCCAGTACAGGAGCACTCAACACAAACACTTGAAAGCCCTTTTGAAACCACTTCTCTGTTCCTCTGCTTCCCTGCTAAAACCTGGCAGCAAAGTGATGCAGGGAGGTCTTTCCTCTAGCAAATAATGCATTGTTTTTACAAGAAATATTTACTCACACTGGGAAGCCTAAACATAGCCCAAGACTAACCTGTGTCTACCTGTCAGAACTAACCAAGCACAGCYTTACCATTCTGCATTCACATAGAGCCTACAGGGGGTTTCCATGGGTTCCATTTAAGATCCTACCCAAGTATCAGACCCATTCTCCCTAAATTCCTCCATTAGAAAACATTACTTATTCCATGGAGTTMATCTCAAAACAGTTAATAATGGAGTGGTTGAAGAAATTACTGCAGAGCAGATATTTTTAGAAGTAGGAAACTAGAATCCTTTTGCCTCCAGACATTAATTAGTCTGTTTGGGCTACACTTGCAAGAGGACTTGGAGCAGAATTTGCTGCACAGTGATCTATTAATCCTCACAAAYTCACTTAATGATGGTGCTCATCTAGGATAGGGTGGAAGCTCATTTTGCTGCTGGTTTTTGGCTAAGCTGCTACAATCAGTTGTTTGCCACTGATAAGGCAAAAGGGTCTTTCCTTGCTACCCCTTTCTCAATCCATTCCACACGAGATTATCCAGCTAATTTGTCATTAATCTGCTTTCCAGTGGTCTGTTTTCTCACATTTGTTCATCTGAACAACTCCCCTAGGCTTCATAAAAGACCAGAATAATTACCTGAGCTGACTTTTCAGGAAAGCCTTGGGAATTTCCCTAGATGCACAGAATGAGGCTGCCTGTCAGGAAACTTTGACATTAAAACTCCTGAACTTCAGTGGGATCCCTGTAACCATCAGCAACAACTGCACAAAAAGGAAAAGCACTTTATTCAGCAGCTAGGACCAGGCAGCTGAGTCAATGGAGCAGCACAGGGCAGGAACTACAGCACACAAATGTTTCATGAACTTTGGAGACCTCCTGGATAGGATCAGGACACATTAAACCTCATGGGCAAACAGAGGATCTGTTTCCAGACACATTCATTTTGTGTGTTTTTTTTTTAAAAAAGCAAACATGTTGGAAGCTGTGGTCAGTGTGTGGCCCTTGCACAATCACAAAGCACCCCTCAAGTGGTTTAGCCTGGGTAAAAGTGGTTCTGAGTAGCTTAGCACAGAAAACCATCTTCCACTTGAAAAAATCCTGTTGCTTCTGCTGATTCAGCCACCCTCTGCAATCAGGGGGGATGCTACACATCTTGCTCAGAATTAGGAGGTGAAAAGAAAACCCAAGTTAACTGGAAGCAGAGATTTTAACCTTTCACTGCAACCCCAGTGCTGAGGCACCACACACCACAGCAGGGTCTGCCCTGGTCCATCCAAAATCAGCCGTAAATCCCTCTCCAGACCGCAGGCAAGGACAACACACAGAGAGCAGAACACTGACTTTGTGTCTGTATTTTGACCGGGGGCTATTTTGGTCAAGCACCAGTCATATGCAGCACTTCATCCTCCTTTCTGAGGCATCATGTGGTGGGGTAAGTGCTCAAATCAACTCACTGCTTCATTGTATTATTTACGCCTCTAATCTATTTTAGTCCACAACCCTGACATTCAAAGATAATTCTTTTCCTGACCCAGAGAGAGAGGTCTYGGCATTTCTTACCTCCTGCTAAGAGATGCAGAAGGAGGGGACCATCCTCTGGAAAAAAAAAGAAAACTCAAAAAACCCTTCTCCATTCTTAGTAGGTTGCTTACTGGAAGTCTGATTAGTCCCTCCTAGAGCTGCAGCAATGTTATATCCAGAATGGAATTAGGACCAGTTTATTTCCTGTTAATGGACTCCCTTAGCAGTTAAAAAAAAATAAATATTGAACACAATCAGTGCTGCCACCCACCCATAGCTTTCAACAAACAACAGGTCACAAACAGATGTTTTTGGGGTTGGATATTTGGTTGATTTTGKKTTTTTTTTCTTCTTCTTTTCCATTTAATGTAGTTTAATCTGTGTTTTTCTTTCCTGTTGCTAGCAGAAGTCTTGTCTTTGATGGAGTACTCTAACTGGTTATAATATAATTAATTTTAGATCAGTAAAACTCTCTGGGGTTAAGCCTTGGATGGCCTGGAGCATTTGTCCAGCTCATAGAACAAAGGGTCTTGTATCCTATGATCATATGCTTGAACCTCTCTCCTCAATCTCAGTCATTTATATGAGTTTTGAAATTACTGGGAAACTAAGCTTAAAGTGGTTTTTGAAGAAGAAATCAAAATTGAAACAGAAGCAAACTAACACAGCAATGAGACACAAAATAAGCAGATAGCTTCTCTCCAAAAAAATCTAGATACACAGCAGCTTTTCCAGCCTGGATTCTGTTTGTTGAAGGGCAGGTCAAGACATGAAGCAAACACTTATAGAGCAGAATTTTCTGCAASTAAAACTTTAGGTTAAAAGTAACATATCCAGTTTCCCTAGAAACATGGTCTACCAGCACCACTGGCCACATGTGAAAAGCTGTGCTTCCTGTGAGATGATCCCAAGAATTACACTGCAACCAAATTAACAAAGCTGTACCAGAACGGGGCAGGACATGGAGGTAAAAAGGCAAAATCCAAAACACAGATCAAAGGGTGAATTTAGCCACATATAATCTGTTCCAAGACACTGTGTTTCTTGGTAATGCAAACTACCCAACTATTTCATTGAGGATAACATGCAATTTGGTTTGTTGTGGAAATGGTTTTGGGTTGGGAGCATGCAGAGCCCATGGGTATAGGAAAGAAAGCAAACCCAGAACTGAGAGTGCAAAAAGGAATAAATAAATAGATACTATAGCAAATTAGACCTTGCCACWTGCAGACAAATAACAAAGTCTTGGCTGGCCTTCACAGACCCAGTAGCCACAGAGAGAAAAGAAATTCAAACCACTTTGAGTGATACCACATTCTGAACCACAGGACCAAGAGATGAAATCAGAGCATAACATTCCCAAAAGGAATGAAGATGAATCTCTGTCTTGAGTGTTGTCCTAAGAACAGAGCTGAAAACTGGAGAAATATGTCTATTCCTGCTCAAACAAAAAAAAAGGGAAATAATATAAATAGAAAAATATGTAAAAATGAGATGTATATAAAAAATAAAATGTACAAAAAATTTAATCCAATGACTGTGACAAGYGTATCTGGCCACTCACTGGCTTATTTCATCTCTACAGCCCATATATGAAAAGATAATTTACTTCCAGCAACAGAGAACAATTTCACAGTGAAKGTTTAATCAAAGATTGGATTTCAGCAAAATCTCTTAAATAGGAATCCATGACTCTTCAGAAAAAAAATCGCAATGTTTTTGACTAAGTGTGAACAAAGCYCTTATTCTGATGGAGAAAAGCTTTACATTTATTGAGGGTAAATCCCTTATCTCTTCTGCAACAGAATCTCTTTGGATCAGTGTTGTCAGCTACAAGTGTGACACTGTACAAACATACCTGTTGGTATTCTTGTCTCATTTGCAACTGGGATAACTGTTTACAAACAAGTGCTCTCTCAGATAAAGAAATATACTCAGAAGCCAACAGGTTCGTTTTCCATTTTCCCAGCAGGTTCTACCAAAGATATACAAGACTTCTCAGAGGGTGTTTATTTTAACATATCTTTAATGCCGCATTAACTCTGATCAGTTGTATAATGATGAATTTGGCATGGSAGAATTAATCCATCTTTCCCAAGGTGACTTTAATCTGTACCTGTTTTTGCTGATTATGGTATAGGGAAAGTCTTTAATGTTACCAGTTTGCCTTCTTTGGCTACTAAGGTTCAGCYTTAGGCCAGGTCTCCTTAACACAAGATCTTGCTTTATACCCAAGAGAAACTGTGGCACAGGAAATAAACTCACCAAGATCACACAGAACTAGGAGCAGAATGAAAAGCCTTAGTTATAGACTTCCTAATTCTAGCTCATAACTTCTACCAATTCTGCTGTTTGTCCACGACAACTTTGTACAACTGCAAAGCGAACATATTGATWAAAAAAACCCTCTTCAATACTTTATTGGGCTCTCCCAAACTACCTTATTTTATGAGCACATTTATTTGCATTGCCTTTGCCAGYTGCTGCAAACACTTAAGTAGAATACAGTTAAATGCCAATTTCTTCAAAGAGAACCAGCCCTGATCATTTCAGTTTATAAACCACACTCTGGAATACTACTATTGTGAACGCTACCCTTCCCACATGGAATTAGTTCCAAGTAGGAGCAGCAGGGCATTCAGCCATGCAGAAAGGAGCTGTCTGAAGACAGAACAAGGAAGAATTTGGCAACTCCACTCGTTTAACTGCTTGTGTCACCTTAGCCATGGCTTCGCCGAGCGCCAGCTATTCCCAGGTCCTTGCGGCTGTCCCTGCCCAGCAATGGGACACGGAGCTGTGACATTTGGCCATCTGGGCTTGGATCTGCGGCTGGGTTTTGTGTGTCTCCATGGATTGTCACCTGCGCACCCATCCCAGTGACCACCACCTCCAACCCCACGCATTTCCAGATGTTCCACTGGAGTTTCGCTCCGTGCCCGCTCCAGCCCCACGCAGCGGGTGTACCCCAGGCCGGAAAATCCCAGCTCCTGGCCTGATTTCCCGCAGGARCGGAGGAAGGAGCGGCTTTGCCAGGCCCCGCACGGCTCCCCAGGGTTTGCTGGGCCAGCCACACACGCCGTGCTCGGGGCCGGGCTTTCAACACAGCGTTAACGGGCGGGTCACGCTATTATTATATAATACACGATCATATGCAAGATACACATTATATATATAAACAATAAAATAATAAACAGGAGAGGYTTCCCCCTCCAGCCCCCGATGCCCCCCTTGCCCCCCGGGCGCTCCCCACCTGAAGACGCGGAGCAGGAGGCAGCCGATGAGCGCGGCCGTGAGCGCGCAGGCCCCGATGACGGCGGCTTTGAGCGCGGAGAGATCGCGGAGCATCGCGGGCACGGGGCTGAGCCGGGCCCCGCTGTGGTTGCCGGGGCCCGGAGCGGCGGGCGGGCGGCTGGCGTTACCCGGCAGCGGCTCCAGGCTACCGCGGGCGGCGGGCGCGGCGGGCAGCAGCAGCGGCAGCAGCAGCGAGGCCGCCAGCAGCGGCAGCGGGGCGGCGGTGGGGCGCATCCTGCCCCGGCTCCGGCTGCTCCGGCTCCGGCCGCGCCGAGCAGAGCCCCGGAAGGCAGAGCCGGCCGGCCCGGCCCGGCCCCCGCCCCCCCGAGAGGCACCGCCTCCACCGCCGCCGGGGCCGGGCACAACCGGGCATGGAGCACAGCCGGGCACAGCCGGGCACAACCGGGCACAACCGGGCACAGCCGGGCATAGAGCACAGCCGGGCATAGAGCACAGCCGAGCATAGAGCACAGCCGGGCACAGCCGGGCACAACCGGGCATAGAGCACAACCGGGCACAGCCGGGCACAACCGGGCATGGAGCACAACCGGGCACAGCCGGGCACAGCCGGGCATGGAGCACAGCCGGGCACAGCCGGGCATGGAGCACAGCCGGGCACAGCCGGGCACAGCCGGGCACAACCGGGCATGGAGCACAGCCGGGCACAACCGGGGCTGGGCATAGAGCACAACCGGGCATGGAGCACAGCCGGCCATAGAGCACAACCGGGCACAACCGGGGCCGGGCACAGCCGGGCACAACCGGGCACAACCGGGCATAGAGCACAGCCGGGCACAACCGGGCACAACCGGGCACAACCGGGCATAGAGCACAGCCGGGCACAGCCGGGCATAGAGCACAGCACACAGCCGGGGCCGGGCACAGCCGGGCACAACCGGGCACAACCGGGCACAGCCGGGCACAGCCGGGCACAGCCGGGCACAGCCGGGGACAGCCGGGCACAGCCGGGCACAGCCGGGCACAACCGGGCACAACCGGGCATAGAGCACAACCGGGCACAGCCGGGGCCGGGCACAGGCACAGCCGCCCCTCCGGAGCTCCCCACCGCCCCGCCGCGTTCCTTGGGCCCCTCCGCTGCCTAAGCCGGCGCTGCTCCTTCGCTCAGCACGTCCAGCTGTTATAAGACAGAATCCAAGGTGGGCAAGGGTCAGGAGGGGCCATGCCAAGAGCGGCGAAGGGCACTTGGTTGCTCAGCCTGGAGAAGGCAGAGCTCACCGCGGGTGTAGCTTCCCCAGGAGGGGCAGCGCCTGTCTCTGCTCTGTGACCGGCGACAGGGCCCGAGGAATGGCTGGAGATGGGTCAGGGAGGCTTAGGATGGATATTAGGAAAAGGTTCTTCGTGGTCAGGCACTGAACAGGCTCCCCAGAGAAGTGGTTGCAGCACCAGCCTGACAGCTGAARCAGCATTTGGACAACAGCATCAGGCACAGGATGGGATGGTTGGGTTGTCCTGTGCAAGAACAGGAGTGGGACTTCRATGATCATGGTGTGTCCCTTCCACAAAATTCTCTGTTCCTGTGATTCTGCAGCCACTTCTAATTACAACACACAACAYTGGCCCAGCTAYGAAACAATCACAGAGTTCACACTGYCATCAAGCAGGGTACAAACCTCCTGAACTGCTGGGGCAGCACGGCCCAGCTGCTACATCAACAATTCCTACATCAGATTTATGTCTTTTTGCCTTTCTGCTGGTCACCAGGGCTCTGCTTCCAGGTTAACRTATTTACAGATGTTTCACATCTTTTAAAATGTAAGATGCATGGAAATCACAGCCGTGGTTCTCCAAACCATCCTGGAGGCACTGAGCATGTGAGCGGTGCCATCAGCCAAGCCATACAGAGAGAATAATTATAGAATTACAGGAATCATACAACATCCAGTCTTGGAAGGGAATCACAATCATCCAGCTCTTGGCCTTGMAGAGGACAGCCCCCAAAATCCYACCCTGTGCCTGAGAGCGTTGTCCAAACTCTGCTTGAACTCTGTCAGGCTTGGTGCTGTGGCCACTGCCCATTTCTGGTGACCACCCTCCTCTAGATCCCCCRCCATCTTCATAGCCCTCCTTTGAACASTCTCTAATAACTTTATATCCTTATATTGTAGTACCCAAAACTGCACACAGTGTTGGAGGTGAGGACTAAATGAAGGAGCAAACTGCTTTCTGTGTTCAATGTTAATAAGAGCTTCATCTTAGCTAAATGTATGTGGGGAGAGGGGCACAATGGCACTGAAATCATGTGAAACAAAGGGGAAAGACAAAAGAGCAGATTTCCATCCTATTAAACTCCACACTTCAGAGCTGGCATGGCAGGGTGCAATCTATAGGAACGGGTGACTAAGGTGTGCAGGAGATGACAGAGGTGTATTCCTGCAGGCAGTGTCCTGCTGGAGAGGTGGCAGTGAAACAGTGCCTGGTTCTTCAGCCTCCCTGGCCAATTGGGATGCTGTATCAAATGCCACCCACTCGGTAATAAAAGCATCCTGTGTGTTTTGCAGGAGGTTCTTTGGGATGAGGAAATTTTGACATGGACACTGTGCAGAAGGCCCCCTAGACCGTCTGAATTGGGCATTGTTCCGATTTCGTTTCACTGCTGACTTTTGTGCAGTTTCCCAGTTTCCAGCATGGGGCCTCRGTTTATTTCTGTTCAGAAAAAAATAAAATAAATAAATCAGTAAAAATTCCATCTGGGCAGGAGGTCAGATTGGTGGTGCGGGCTATTTCCCAAACACTGGTGTGAGCGCTGCTCACTTGAGTTATTATTTGTAAACACTGACCCTGTTGCTGGCCCTGCCTGTTCTGAGATGTTTGCCAGCTGCTGCCCRGCCTCTGGCAAATCCCTCTGGCACAGTGCTTCCCTATGGGATCTGGGAAGATGTGTAAAGGACTCCCAAAACAAGAACCACCTCCCACAGTTTGAGTGAATATATCAGAGGTGAAGAGCCATTGCCACAACAGTTTTGGAGAGCGTTTCAACTGGCTTCAGGGTTTTTCAGTTTGCTTTGGTTTGGTTTCTTGTGACTTTATTTTTTTTCTCCTCTTTACTGGTATTTCACATGTCATTTGCCTAATTTGGGAATCATTCCTGGGTCCTGGTCTGGAATGTGGGATTTCGCAACTCTGTTCTTCAATGACATCATGTGGTTTGTTCTGAACACAGCAGTAATAAATGAGAGTGGGGGGAGTTTACCAACCCTTCTATAATAAACACTTTATCCCAACAGTCATCTTTTGAGGATCTGAACTAATTTGTGGGGKTTAGATTTTACCTAGTAAGTCATGTTTTCCATGTATATAGGACAAAGAGTCCCACTTGGATAAAAGGAAGCTACATCTTGGTTTCATCTCCCCCTTAGCAGTGGCGGCTGTGAAAGCCAGCGCTCCCGAGAGCTTTGGTAGAAGAACACAACTTTGAGAAGAAATTCAGTCASTGAAAAATGCAGAAAGTATTTGTTTTCCCCTCTGCTGAAGCTTGTGTTTCATCCCTAACACAAACACACTCCTGGAGGAGAATGCTCTGCMGGTTGCAGGGGTGGGACTTGGTGTRGMTTTTCTCCCTGCTGAGTTTYCTTCCCATTTACACCTGTTCGGTGTCATTACAAGTTGGAGCTCTTGGTAGCAATTGCGTTTTCTGTAGAAGAGTCTGTGCTGGCTAAATAGAAGGGGCGAGTATGTTTCTGTATGCAATTGCTTCTGGGAATGGCAGATTTCTGTATTTATGGATGCCTGTTACAGCAGAAACCCTGTTTGTGGGGACAGCTCTTCATGCACTGCTTAGCAATGCATACGAAATTCGGGCTGCCCCTTCCTTCGTGCACTCAGATGGCCTCCAGGCAGCACCCAGAAGTATTTTTAGCTTCAGAATAGGGAAAAAAAATTTGCAAGAAATTGTGCAGAGAAGAAATAAGCAAAGAAATTGAAGCTGGCTCAGTCGTCAGATTTAGGCAGGCTGGGTTTGCAGGAATAAATAAGTGTTTCTGTGAGAAAAATGAAATGTGTACGAAATGTGTACAAAGTGAGGCAAACTACATTCCCAAKGATTTGCTGYAGAAGTAATAGACCTTCTGGAAAARACCAGGRTCCAGTAAGGAAGGAAATAAAATGGAACTGGTAAGATATCAGTGCTCCATGAGCACACCTCTGACATCTCAAAACCAAAAAGCCAGGCTACTAGCAGAGATATAAATTCAAGGAGCAATCACCTCTCCATCAGAAGGTGTTTGAGCTTGGATGTCAGACAAGAGAGCACAGGGTAATTGCAAGATTTAATCACTCTTCCAGTGACTATCGACAGATAACCTCAACCAGCAGTGCAGTAAAACTGCAATGCCTCATCTATCACGAGTGGTCCAAGGGCTGCAAAGATGTCCCATTGCTAATTAAAGACCAGTGATGTAGAGCAAGCAGGAGCTTCAGATGYACTTGGACAAGTCTTTGCACATCCCTAGTTAGCCCATTACACATTACATTAGCCTGTTATTCTATAACCCTCTAAAGCATTTATGGCTTTTTGCAGACATTAAAAGCCAGTGTTACTGCTGCAAAAGGCTTGTAATTTAAGTCTATGATAAGCAGCAGATTCCTTTTAAATGAGGTTGGTGCAGTCATTAAGCTGGGGTGCAGAGATTATCTCTTGAGCAGGTTCTACAATATCGCTAATACACACAGCGTTGCAGTGCAGCAGTTAATCTGGAAAAAAACAGGGAAAGGAAGGACAGCAGTAAACCACAAATCTTTGTTTAGTTTGGATAACAATAATCAAAGAACACAAAAGCCGATTATGACTTTGCCTCCCACTGCTTCACTGCCTATTCATGCAGTCTGTCCTGGCTGGCCTGCTGAAGTGCAACCTGAAAGAAGCTGACAAATCATTCAAGCCTTTTTTTTTTTTTTTTTTTTTTTAGATAATTTGCAAATGATATCCTTAGACTGATTTTCTTCATTTCAGCTGCATGAAAGAAACTCATCGGGGTGGTAGTGGCTAATGTTGCAGCCTCAGATGGCTTTAGAGGTTCATTGATGATGTTAAAGTGATTGTCAAGTAGCAGAACTCCATCCGGAATTGAAAGAGACCAGGATATAAAATAAACAGAGCAAACTTCCTCCTGGCTCTCAGACTGTAATTCTGGTTTAACTGAGCAGTGCCTGTAACTGTCAGCCCAGCACATCTCCCTGCAATGACAGTGATCTTGAGCTGCCTGGAGTAATTCTCTGTGTGAAGCAGCTCCCCTGGAAGCTGTGAG